CCGGCCTCTCCTCTCTTCACAGAGACCCTCCTGCAGCCCCGCTGCCCGCGCCTGGGCTCCTGCACCCGGTAGGCGAGATAAGCCGTGTTTGTGAGGTGGGTAGTAGCACTGAGAGTTTTCAACTTCTTTTCAGGCTCAAAATTTCAGACAAGAATCCCTGAAAAAGAATCAACCGGTGTTACAGGTCACCTATAGTATACAGCAGCTTTAGGTTTGTAGACCAATTGGTAACTAACAGAACTGGCAATTCATACGGTTTTGTTTTGGTTTTTTTAATATAATTTTAGGAAAACTGAGTCAGTTAAATGGTTAGTTTATTCTGGAGGAATATATTGAATATTTCATTATGGTTTCAGAATAACAGGACTTTAACTGCAGCATAGTGGTGGAGATGAAGCTGCAGTGCCACATAATGCCGCTCTGTGGCTTGTCTGAAAGCTTGAAATTCCTTAAATTTATAGGATATGAAAGGATGAAAAACACTCATTGGATAACTTCAATATTAAGGTGTCCATGAGACTGAATGTTATTTAACTTTAACTTGGGAAATGTACTTACATATTTACTGAGATACATTGTCAGTAAAATGATTTGGTCTGTGCTATAAAAGAGGAAGGTCAGGCCTGCAGTTATACGCTTCGTATTGGCTGCAGTCAGCTGAACCCGCAGCATATCTCCTTTGCTTGTACTGTCATTATAGACAAAATTTTGTTGGCCTGTTCCACATTAGCTGCCTCCTTTTGTTTTACGGTAAGTTCCAGCCTCCACTGTTGCAGAGTCTCTGTCCCCCTGTGCCTTAGTGTATCCTCTAACTATCCCCCCCACTTCTCCAGTCCTGCTCCTGTGGGCTTTTGTCCCTTCTGGGTCTCTAAGAAAACCTCTTCATCTTCCATTTTGTCATCACTAATGTGTGTAGTCTGTTCTTCCTCCCCAGCTCCTTCCCCTGGCAGCATGGCAACTCAACTAGGATGGATGTGTGACAGGTAAGGAGCTCATGCACCTTCCTCCTGTGCTGTTCTGCAAGCATTCTTCAGATTCTTGCTCAAGGTAGCTCCCCAGAAGGGTATGCATTCCAGTGAAGTTTGTACGGACTTGAAATTGTACCAACATTTTTTCCTGACAAAATAGACCTTTTCCCCCTCTTTAAGGAATTAGGGGAAACATAAATTATTGCTTTTGTTCTGGCTATAGTAAAGCAAAACAGCACAAAGCAAAAAATACTAAGGTTATCCTGACATTTATAAGGAATGGCAACTTAAAATCTGGTCATAAAGTTGACAACCTGGGTTAACAATCCTACTTACCAAATGAGGCCGAAATATGTGGAATGGCATTAAGTGTTAGCCGTATTCTAAAGTTTTCTCAGCACCTTCTTTCAAGGAACCTTCCCCACTCTTTCATTAGAAATTCAACCTTTTTCCTCCCACCCAGTTTTCCTGCATATCACTGTATGGAAAATCTTTTTCTGCTACTGGCAGAAACAGCAAAAAATTCAATCATGTGCAAACTTGTAGACTGGGAAAACAAAAAGATAAGAAAATAATGACTGTCTCCCGCTCACTCCGTCCCTTTCCCTGAATCAATTAATTTTTAACCATCAATGTTGAGAACTGATAATTTAGAAAACCATTCCCTCACCCAGAGGACCCCAGTTGTTTATATTAACACAATTCTGAAAATCATCTATTATTAAATAATTGATATTATTAATAATCAATATAAGTAGCAAGAAAACAAGAAAATAAAGTTGTCTGATTTAAAGTGGATTTTTTAAAAATGCATATCCACACAAAAATTAAGGTTGGATAGCAATAGGCAATGGTGGTTATGTGTTAGTACAATGACTGCACTGCTGCTGTTGTTCCCATAGTTTTTATGAAGCTGTAAATGTATGATTAAAGTTATTTGGATAAATCAAGCAGCAAACAGTTTATAGGTGAAAAATTTATTTTTTAAAGCAAATTAATCAGAATACGGAATTCATGTCTTCTGCATTTTCTCTTTCTTGTAAAATATTTGTTAGAGAATATTATAATACAAATATTAAATGTTTCAATGTAGCTGATTAATTTGAATACATCTATTTTTTTACTAAATATAGGAAAGTTCTCACTTGATCTGATAAGTTTCTGAAATAGTAAGTCTGTGGTTGTTGACAGAAAGGAAAGCTGTGCCAGGAAAAGAGTTTATAAATTGTCTTTTCCTACTAACATATTGGGATTTTTAAATTAACCATCACAGAGTAAAAAGGTAATATTCACTAAACATAGTTAGCTGACAAAAAAGAGAAAGAAAGTATGCCCAACAGATCAAATGTGAAAGAATCGAACAACGAAGTTCATTAAAGAATTAAGAAGATCAGCACATATTTCCATTAGACAAGTTTGACCTTTTTGCTTGTTTAATTCTTGGCTATATTTTATTGATTAAAAGAATAGATTGTCTTTACTTAAATAAACAGCTAAAAGCCTCTCTATTGGAATAAACCTGAACAAACCCCAAAAGAATATGCCAAATGATTACATTACAGAGACAGCTGAAGGACAATTTCCTTTTCAGCAGCACAATGGATTGGATTAAATTTTATACTTGCCTCTCTATATAGAAGCATATACTCATAGCATATACTATACTTATTTACTAGCATGCAATATATATCAAATAATTAATAATTAATTTGGAAAATCCTCTTTTTGTTTGTTTAGGATGATAAGCATATTGCACACTCAGAAATGTCATTCTGCTAATATTACTAATGAGTTCTCTTTTCTGGTGTGTTTGCTTATAATACTTCAGTAAAATTGCTAAAGAACATAGATGAGCACTGAAAATAGATTGTTTTAATTGCTGAAAAAGATAGTTCTATTGAGGGCATTATTAAAAGTCAAAAGCTTAATTTACAAAAATGACATAAAATAAATTACCTGAGATAAGTTTTCATTTCTGTATGCAAAACTATTGACATTTGTCTTGTTTGTTTTATTTGTTCAGCATAAATCTGTACATAAAATGTTTTGATGTGTAGTACAGAATTATCTTATAATCAGAAATGGCATCTCTTCAATGTTGTCATTCTTTTTTGGAAAAGAATTTAATTAAAAAGCCATTTTCCACTGACATTTTAAGGAGTCAAATCTGACAACAGCTTTCAAAGTCAGCATTT